TATATGCATGCAAGTATGTGTGTGTAAAATGTTGAAACCCCATTTTTTCTTTCTTTCAAGCATTTCCGCTGATAGCTTATAGTAGAAGGAATTTCTATTAGTATTTTACAATAAAAAGAGATCAGTAATTGTACATTTAGTTTTGTTCTCCTTAGATCATGTTGTGAGGATTTCAATATATATTAACATTAAATAAATATGTTTCATGCAAAATATCCTCTAATTTTTCAAATGAATGTTCTGCTTCTGTACCGATCAATAGTTAGCATTTTTAGATTGCTTCCGTTATCACATCTCACTCCACAAATCAAAATGCAAGTTATGGTTTTCTATTTTAAAAAGCTGGTTTTTTAATCGTACAATGGTATAAAAGTATTCTACAGCCTATGATAAGCATTCCTAATTTGAAAAATTTATAAATTCTCAAATTATATTTACTTTAAAGTACTTTTTTAAAAATTAACGTGATTCATAATGTCTTTGCATGAATTCACAAGTCTCAACTGTGATTGCATTCAGTAGGAAATTAATATTTTTCCCTAAAAAGATTTTTACTGGTGTGCCAGTATTTCATATGATTTGCTTTATAATGTATGCCTTTTTTGGGGGTGGGTGTTCGAGTACAGTTTTTATTATTATTATTTAAGACACAGTGATCTGATGTTCTGAATTCTGAAATTAATCTTGAGCCATTTTGTTATAATTCAAATGAAAGAATAATGAACTAAATGTGAGCATGCATGCATGTAGATGTAATCATTGTTTCAAATGTGTGTGTAGTTTTATGATAAGAATAATTTATTTATCTAAAGTTAAGCAGATTACTTCATTTTGAAATACTACAAGTGACATAATTCAAAAATCTGATGCTAGAATTTTTTGAGAGATGTTTTGTTTGTGCATATATTTAGTACATTGAACTGAAGATGTCATTAAGTTTTTAGCTTGATTCATTAATGATGGATTTGTGTCAAAAATTAAACCTGATCACAATGAACATGATAGTTTTACTCAGTGCATCATTCATTGATAGACATTAATAGTTAAGAAGTCGAATGTAGCTAGGCGTTCCCTTGCACAGCATCCAGGGGGGCACCAAATTGGAAGGCTCATTGCATTTTGGCAAATAGGAAAGAGCGTGAAATCTTCATTTGCCCCCCCCTCCCCGTGTTAGAACCAAGCATCACTTGTTATCTGTTATCCATAGTTTGACACTGTAAGAGTGGCAACTTTCTTATCGTTGTTGTTGTTCTGTGGATTTTAAAATAAAGATAGTGTTTTGGAATATTAGATGTAAAATTATTTTATTTTAAGTTTGTTAAGAGAAAGGAAAAGGGTTTAATTCTCGCAAATCTCGAACAATTGCTCACAACGGACGTGATTGGTAAAAAAAGTCATGGTAATTTTATTGGTTTCTATTGAATTTATTTTTATTGAAATGGAATCGTTAATTGAGAAATGAAAAACCCATCAGAACTTCTTTTAGAAAAACAATTATTTTAAAAACAAAGGAAATTCTTGATAAATCTGTGTAAATGAAAATTGTTACTTTAAAACGTTTATCTGTTGAGCTTGATACGTTTGATACTGAAATACTAAATTCAGAATTTACTTCAAGTCAAGTTGAAAGTGAATGGTCAAAAGTTGAAGAATGCAAAGAAAAAGATTTAATATGAGTGGAAACGTAATTATTTTTCAGTCACCAAATGACACAATCCATTAGCAGTGTGCTGCGAAATTTGAATAAATGGAAACAAATTACCTGAAATAGAATTAAAACAATTCTGTGTTGAAATTAATGTTTGGTTACTGTTTTGGGGTTCAAGTGATCGTACCTAGTACGAGACCGTGTGATATTGTGAACAGCTTCCCTACAACTGCTGAAAATTATGAAAAAGTTATAGAAAGATTTAAATAGGTTCGGCAGGGAAGAATTGTTGGTAGAATTCTATATCCAGGAATTATAAGGTCTGAATATTAAAAATGTTACTAATCAAGAGTAAAAATGCAGTACATCAGAACTGTATGACAAGTTAAAGTCGTATTAAGGGTCATTGGCATCAATAGAAATGACAAGCGACAAGTATACTGCAATGCTGCTTCCACTCATTGAATCCTGCATTCCCGAGGAAATTTCATGAGTTTGGCTTAAAAATCCTGCATCGATAATTACAGCAGAAAATTCTCACTCTGAGAAATTGAAACAAGTAGTATTGTCTTTAAAAAATGAAGTGGAAGGAGAGCAGAAAATTTTTGTCACAAAAGCTGTATTTAAATTGATTTGGGTGCAAAGAAAGAAAGTAGAAGAGATAAAAGGTACCAGGGTGAACATTCCATGGCTACAGCGAATGATTTATTCTCAGGCCATAGTAAAGCAACTAATTGTAGTGAAAAGTATCCTTGCATATCCCGTCACTTAATGACTGTCTATCAAATAGTCAAAATCTAGATTGCTTCTTGAATTTAGACAAGGAGAAATATTGATTATCTCGGATATTAGAAAAGCTTTTCTTCAAATATCTGTTCAAAGAAATGATTGTGATTTCCAATGATTCCTGTGGTGATAAAACTCGGGCCAAAAGGAAACAAGAAAATTTCACCATTGCAGAGTAGTCTTCAGACTAAAATGAATTCCATTTCTTTTATTAGCAGTTATCAGTTCTCATTTAGATCATTTGAATCTTCTTTGAAGGAAGTGGGTACAAAATTAAAAAAAATTCCTTCTTTCAGTGAATTCGAATGAAATTGCAGAATACTTTATCGCAAAATCAACTCAGTCAAGTGCTAATTTTGACTTAAGAGGGTGGGAAGAAACAGAACTAAACAGCGACAAATCTACAATGGGCAAACCATTGAAAGTACTTTGTCTTCTGTGGGATAAATATGAAGATTTGCTATTTTGTGACATCCGTATCAACTTAATTAATCTCTCAGTGACAAGATGAAACATACTATCAACTGTACACAGAGTTTTTGACACAATAAGTTTTATCTGACCTTTTACACTCCTTCCAAAATCATATTTGCAAAAGAGCTGGGATGCAGAGCTACCTGAAGATATCAAAACAAAATTCTTGAAGTGGGTCAAAGAATTGCCCTTATTTATCATCCATGAAGATTCCCAGATTAGTTCCACTGAATAAAGGACAATCTTTTAGTTTGCATATGTTTGCCGATGTTTAACAGGGATCATATGCAAGTGCAATATATTTCGGAAGTCAAAGTGACTCTACTGAAAGCCAAAGCACAAGTAGCTCCCTTGGAGAGAGGGAAAACAAGTGTAGCACGACTTGAATTACTTGCTTGTCTAATTGGAGTGCCTTAGAACAGCATTTTGTGCAGTTTGCAATTTTTTACGGTTAGATTTCCACGCAAACACCCAGACTAAGCAAGCATAGCAGAGCATGGACGCAGAATGGACTTGTAAATAAGTAACTTGTTATCTACGGATAATGCACTATTTCGAGCAATTAGGGAGTAGAGTTTAGCTTTAAGCACATGAAACTTTTTAATAACACTTCTAATATGTGGGGTCCATGTGAGAGAATTGTTGAGGATCACCCTAAGGTAAGGGACTGGTTAGACCATGGGACACTTGTGCCATATAACTTCAGGTGATAGTTTATTTTTGTCTTCTTCACAAATAAGAAGGCTTTAGTCTTTTGTACATTTATATCACTCTTCCATTTTTAAGCCAAATTTCTAATGCATGTATGTATTCTTGTAAGTGTTCAACAACTGGACGAATAAATGCACTTTGTGCTAGGATTGCTGTGTCATCAGCATACATAGCAAGTGTTGTGTCAGGTACTGTAGGAATGTCATTCACGTAGATGTTAAGTAAAGTAGGGCCAAGTAGGGACCCTTGTGGTACACCGGCCCTGATGGTCTGGTGAGTGAAATGTGAACCAGAAACATGAACGACAAAGTGTCTACCCGTAAGGTAAAATTTATTGATGTTTGTGATGTAGCCTGGGAAACCCAGGCTGTGGATTTTGTAAATGAGAATATATCCAGCCATACTCTATCAAAAGCCTTTGCTGTATCAGTAAATATTCCACCAGTGATTTTCTCCTGTACCATGCCTTCTGAAATCATCTCCACAACATGGTAAAGCTGATTCGAAGTTGAAAGGCTCTTCCTGAATCCAAACTGGTATGGTATAATGATATCCTTTTCCTCTAGGTAATTGTTTACTCTTTTCAGTAGGACAACCTCAAGCATTTGAGTGTGGGCAGTAGGCTGATTGGTCGGTAGGAGTTGGGTCTGGTGTCTGGTTTCTGAGGTTTTTAGAACTGGCGAACGGTTTTCCAGGGGTTTGGGAAAATACTCTAGTCGTAGAACTTCATTGAAAACTTTTGTAAGGATGAAGATGATTTTAACGGGAAAGACCTTCACTGTGGTGTTATTCATTCTGTCATCTCCTGGGCTTTTCTTGGTGTTTTTGATGTTGCTAAGAACTTCTGAAGGCATAACTTGAATAATGTTGTTGTGTATGGATTGGTTGTAAAAGTGGACTGAAAATTCGCTACTAAGTTTTCTGTTGTAGTGTCAATAATCTTGTTCATGGAAAACTGATTCCAGATGCTGAGCTAAAAGTTTTGCTTTCTTAGTTTCAGTGTAATGGATCCTGCTAGGGCCTTTAAGGAGCGAAATTTTATTGTGGCATTTTTTTATACCTTGGTAGGGCTTCCCACAGTGATTTATCTGTAGAGAGCGATTTCAGGTAATTCATCAAACTTTGTTGTGCTTGAAGGTTTGTAAGAGATTTGACTGCATTGTTCAGCTGGTGTAAGCGTTGTTTATCATAATGATTCTGTTACGCTTGAATTACCTTCTTGCGGCGTTTCTTTTCTTAATTAATGCATCCAACTCTTAAGATCTGACATATCTGCTTTTCTTCACTTTTTGGGTGTGTGCATGTGCAGTTCTAATTTGCTTGGCGAGACCTTCTTACCAAGCTGCCAATGTCATCCCCTGTATGTAACGTGTAGTATGTAATGAATGTTGTTGAGAGCTTTGACATATGCTTGCCAGTCAGGGCTAAAGGCTTTGTTGTCTGGCGTGGTATGACTACTGATATTCGGAATAGCTCTCACCAGGTTGCTATCTAATGAAAGCTTGTCTAAAACAGTAAAATCCAACAGGTCATTTGTATTCTTTAACAAGAAGAAATCTATAATACCCATGGAACACTGTGAATGCCAGACCTCTCACTTATGTGTCAGAGGACTCTGATGATCTCATTCCTTTGACACCATCCTTGTTTTTAGGCAATATTCCAGTTTTGGGAGTTTCTTGACTTGGGTAACTGTGCATTAATTAAGTTAATTTCAACAAGAGACTGACACATCTACAGAATTCATGTGAGCTCTTGAGAAAGATTTAGAAGTGAATATCTTGTGCTGCTACTGTAACATCCATCTACAGTATCGATTTCTCAACAGATAAAAATCAGGGACATAGTTCTCATCGAGTGTGGTAACAAACACAAGATGCTGTAGGCTCTAGCAAAAGGGATTGAGCTATACCCAGGAAAAGATGGTAACATTCGAGTAGTTCATGTCAAAATCATATCTGCATACACTTCAACTACTACAAACTCTCTGTAGTTTCTATGGAAATTCATGAAAAACTACGAGCTACGAAAAGTCTGGAAAAAACTATGGATTTTACAGAAACAGAGTAGGAGAACCAGTACGCAAAACGGAACCAACTGGTTCATCTGATGATTAGCTGAATACTTGTGTCATCCTATATCACGTGATGAGTGCGTTGCTGGTTTTGAAGAATAGCCAATCGTAGATCAGTAACTCCAACCATTAATGACAGTAGTTTCCCCGCAACATCTGTCTACTGTGTCTGTCTCCCAGGTTTGTTGCCGCTGCGTGTTTAGCTTGCCTTCGGCTCCATTGTTTGGATTACGGCGAGACTTAGCGGTGTGTCTTATGAAAAATGGAATTTTTTTTTATATGCTACCTCGAATGAAAAAGCCAAAATTATCAAACAGGAAATTTAAAAGATTCATTATTCAGAATTTCCACCATTAAAGCATCCAAAAATTTCTGTGAATCACGCACACTGCGTGTTGCAACAAAGACTTCCAGTTGCACATGGCGGAAAAAGATGACTGTAAATGGCATGTTTTTTCTCAAAAGCATATAGAACTTGGCATCTAAAGAAATAACGAATTCTTAATAAAAGATTGACGAAAACAGGTCCTAAGGACGGCCGAATGCTATTTTTTGTTCGATTTTAATTGAACACAGTCTCTAAGGGCTTTCTGTTTCGTCATTCCAAAGATATTTTCAAAAAAGCTATGCTTCCGATGCCATAGCAAAAAATACCATAAAAACTGCCGCTGTTATGAAAACGCTTACAGAAATTCTGTTGCCGATATTATAAAATCAGTGTGCAAGTACATCATTTCTCTAATACTGATGGATAATGATAACAATGACAACAAATGATCCATTGTTATAACCTTATTACAGTTAAAGAAAAAGGAGTGATAATTACGTCATTGATTTCCATTTTAGAGTGCACGAATAATACCAGAGAAGATATTTTTAATTGTTTAAATGAAAACTTTAAAGGCAAAGGTTTAGAATGGAAAAATTGCTTATCATTTTCTTCAGATAATGCTAGTAATATGATTGGAAAGTTTAAACGTTTATCAAAATGCATCAACCAAGTATAAGCATTCGAGGTTGTCCATGCCACCTCTTGCGTATAGCTGCAAAAAAGGCTGCTGAAAAATTAATTGGCCCAGAAATCGAAATGTTGTTAATACATATACAGTCAAAAGTCTTTAATCCAGACTCGTCGGGACTTCAACGATTCCGGATTATAGATCATAAATTTAAATCTGGTAAGATGGCGTGCAAAAAATTGTATAAATTAAAAAATATGAACTGTATTTTGAAATAAAGAGCAATTGGATCTAAAGGATATCAAAATTACAAACAAGTTAATATTATTGTTATTTCTTAGTTCTTTCAACGCTCAGATAAAGCATACATTACGCATAGTCGAAATTAAAAAATTGCAAACAGGAAACTATTTGATGGGTCTACTTGTGAATTATATGACGAGAATTTGATTTAAATCATATCAAGATGGAATACATCGAGATGAAAACTACAATTTTAGTAAGGAATTTAAGCTTCATGATAGAAAAAACAATCTGCCCTGAAGATAAGGATAGTGCTGACAGATCAACTCCAGTCATTTCGTGCCGCGACTTTCCCCCCCCCTTGTAAGCAGCGTGAAATTGATAACAGATTTTGAATGGTAGAGAAAAACAGGACATGTCTGTTCCATTTTTTTCAGCAATTTCCTTTTTTGTTTGATGGACATCGGAACATACTTTGCTTTGGCACTCCAGCATTGGAAATTCTATTTGACATAACGAGAGTCAAAGGCTTTACTTTTATGAACATGGCTCTAACAGTCTGCAGAAAATAATTAAAAGGGATCCAATCGAAGATTAAGGGAAAATCGAGCAATATGACACATTACTGAAACAGATAATCTATAGAATTTTTAGCTTAGTTATACCGTCCGTTATAATTAAAAAACACCGAGGTAACGGTATTATGCGACAAATTTTGCGCATGCGCAGAAAAGTTTTGTAGCTGAGGTCCGGATTAATGACTTGGAGTTATATTTTATTTGGAGGAAGTTCTAACGGAAACGTTAGGGGGCTTCAAAAGTTGCTCAACAAAATTTTGGGACAAGAATGCAAACTTTTAAAATTTTGAAATATTGCAGTACGAGAGGTTTCTCTTTTAGAATCTATAGCAATAATTTTGGAACAGTGGGATGCTTTTCATAAATTTATTTGGAGATCAAGCAGATACAGTGGAAGGAAGAAAGAGATTGGCAAAAAATTAAAAAAAAAAAAAAAAACACCTACCACCAAATTACTTTTATTTTTAAAAATCTTTTTGGATTTAAAAAATAAATATTAAAGCAATACAAAGCTCCTATATTACAAAAAAGTTCTTTTAAAATTATTTGAGATTGTAAAACTACAGTCATTCTACACATAGGATTTTACTTTAATTTTTTCCATTCAGTAATTACAAAAGAAATGGTTTAATTATTTATTTGTGGAAACAAAACTATCAAATCCAATAATGAAAGTTAAGTAAATTTACTGGAATTTGTAAACGCAGGTCATTAAATACTTGCTCTTTTTTTTTGCATATAATAGTATGGTATGAGTGAGTAGATACATTGATTGTTTGAGGGGGTTAAAAAAAAATATGAAAATCTAATTAAATGTGCAGCTAGTTTGCAAGAATTTTTTTAATTTATTTCGATCATTTTTAGTATTGATGTAAATATTATATGGATTAAGCTTAAATGTAAGCAAGGAATTGATTACATTATGGAATAGTTTAGTATTAGGCAACATGCGTTTGATGCACATTGTTGGTTAGTACTAAAAATGTTTTAAATTGTACAAAATTGATTAGTTAATTAATCCGTTAGTGACATTTTAAAAGTGGTAAAAAGTCCGTTCGCGAATACTACCCTTCTCAAATGGAGTCTATATTAGTCAATAATTCGGCAAACAGGAGATGCTAAAGCAAACATCTTTAGTCATTCATGAAACAAAAAAGAAATAATTTAGCTCCAGATTTTATCAAAAATACCTTAGACTGTCATGAATAAAAGTTAAGTTAAATCTCATCAGACTTACCTGAAACAGTTGAGTCACATGTAGAAATTAACCTTGCTTAAACTGTTTGCTGTTGTGTATGAATGATGAACAGTTTTTTATATTGTTTGGATTGATTAAGTATGTCATTAATCAAAAGGTGGGATTATTGTTAGAACCAAGCCACAGTTATCTTTTATTCATAGTTTGACATTGTAAGAATGGCAACCTTCTGGTCTTTGTTTTAGTTTGTTTAGTTCTATGAATTCTTTAGTTTAGTTCTAGGAATTTTAAACATAAAGACAATTTGGAATTCAGATGTAAAATTATATTAATTATATGTGTTTGTTGAGTTTAGCCAGTGATATTAAAATCATCAGCTTTATTAAGAAACATTATATTAATATTCTCTTTTTCAAGCATTGGCATGATGCAGACTGATTACAAATTGTTATTAGTAAGTAAGAGATAAAAAAACAAAAGTTAGAGGGCAGAGTTCAAACAAATATTACTTTGATTGGAAGATCAAGTTACATTTCTAAGCAGAAATTTGATTTTACTCATTATTCAGCAAGGACTGATAGCTTATAGAACTGTGTTATTGTCAAGTTTTTTTAAAAAAATCTTATAACTTAAGTATTTTGCTTCACTGAAGGTATTGTGCTATATTAAAGAGATGTTATAGCTTTCAGTGGTTTAACGTGTATACATTTTGCTGTAACTTCATGTTTGAATATTTGAACAAGTTTCTTATATTTTCAATGAGTTTTTATGTTTCAGTAGCAACATGTTATAAGTACAAAAATATCACCAACTTTTCAATATACAAAATTAGCATATTTTACTATTAGTATAATTCACACAATTTGCAAAATTGCATGTTCATTGAAGTCACCCAAACTTTTTTTAAACTAGTGATGTAATGTAATACTTCCATATACTGAAAAAATATCTGAAAATATTTTGCAAAAACATGTTTTAAATAATCATGAATAAAATTTCCTTTTCTTCCTGTCATCAGATTTAGAGCGATGTATGGATTTGGAAGAAATCATATAGATTAACTTTAAACATATACATTGAATTATTTAGTTTAAAGGAAACTGACTATCAGAACAACATAGCGAATAATAATGAAATGAACAGATTTCTGAAAAATAAAATATTGTGAAAATGTAGAATCATAAATTTTTTAAATAAATCCTTTCTCTGGCAGGTTGTTTCTTTCCCTTTCAAAATTATTCATTAGGCCATTTTCTAAGAAAGTATGAATCAAGAAGTATTGCAGAATGTTAGATATTACAAACTTAAGAAAATTTTATTTAAATTACCAGCTGGCTGTGAATTGTAAGACTGCATGAGGTATGCAGATATGTTTTGACACTGAAAGTTTAAATTTTTCCGTTTTTATCTTTAAAATACAGATAATTTGAAAAATGTTTTGAAAGTTAAACATATGTAAAAATAGAGTGGGAAAGGTTCTTGGAAACGTAACAGCAGCAGATGATTATGAAATTGAAAACAACTTTTCCCAAAGATTTTATTAAAAATATAACTGGTCCTTTGATTTGCTAATGTAACATTAATATTACTTCACTTTAAATTTTGATTATGAGAAACTACGCTTGTTCAAAAACGATTCACAGTTGAAAATTGTCAGTCTTCTGTTATTAAAGGCTAAATAAATGTTTGTCAAATTTTCAAATGGTGCAGGTCTTGGGTAAAAGTTTTCCTGAAAATCCCTAAAAGAATTTTGACACCAGGTTAGAAAAGAATTTCAGACAGTTTGTGAAATGACTCTGAATATATATTTGTGATTTTGTTCTATTGTTTATGTGAAGAAACATCATTATTCCTAGTTTAAAATCAAACTATTACTCATATCTCAAAAATGCATGTATCACTCAATAGGAAATACTCAGCAAAGGTTTAGATTTTAGTCAAAAATAAGCAAGCACACCTGCTCATCAGATAGAAATTTCATTTTAGTAGAAGGTAATGAATGCATGGTCACATTTTAATTTTAAAAGAATGGTTATCAGTTGGTTTTTATAGTTATCAATTAATATTTTATGTTCATATTTATTATATGTACCTGCATATGTGTAATACCAGGGTTGTGTGAAATTTTCTCAGCGAAAAAGAAATAACAATGGGAAAAGTTTAAGAATCTTGGCTTTTGAGTTGATATGCTAAGATATTACATAAATTAGATACTGCTTTTAAAATATTTTTTTAATTTTATCTGTGAAGCATTGCCCTTTCATATTATAAATTTACTACCTCCTGAAAATTTAAAATCACATCTATTCCAGGAAAATATTTCTTTTTATATATTATTATTATTTTAAAAATTTGAGTTCTGTTTTGTGTTAGGTACCTAAAAATACTAAATATTGTGGGCCATAAATGTTTTATTAAAAAATCACAATTTTTTTTTCTATCAATATTTTAAATTTGCTTTAAACAAGTTATATTACTTGCAAAGAATAATTTATTTTAAAAAATTTTTTATAGGAGACTGACATTAATGTGGAAAATAAATCAAGTTCACTGGTGGAGTTGGAGGTAATAAATCCTTAGATGTTAATTCCTTTCTGAGTCATTATCTCACCTTTACAATAAAGTTATCCTATACATTTGTCACAGAAAACCATTCTTTGGTGAAATATAGAATTAATTGTTGCCAGTTTGAATTAAAAGTATTAATTGTATGTTAAGTAAAAGAAAATACTTGCCAACCTTAGAAACCAAGATCCCATCTTGAAACCAGAACATAAAGGAAACTTTTAAAAGACAGAAATGAATGAGAACAACGGCACACAAGAATTTAGAGCAAATTATAATTATGAAGATGCATAAGCAAAAATTGTGCTGATAAATGGGCCTACTTTGGGAGCTTAAGTGGTAAACTTGCACAAGTTAAAGACATAAATGCAGTTAAAGATGGTTGGCAAGTTTTAAGTTCAGAAATAATAATGTACTCATTGAAAGTGGTAATGTAAACAGCAATATTTGCATATAATTCAGTGCAATGCATGTGGAAATTAATTTATGGTTATTAGCCAGAGCATGTATTACTCAGAAGAGAAACAAGAATGACATTTTATGAATTTCTGCTTAATAAGACTAGCTTTTAAATGTGAGATAGGGGTAATTGGTAAACACAGCAAAGAAATGCAAATTCTAATATGGAGGGAAGGTCAGAAGCTGTACTTATTAGTTATGAGTAATACTGAAAATCCATGTGCCTTTAAACGCTTATAAGTATTGCTTGTTGATTATGTGTGAAATACTAAAGCCTGGATAATGTGAGAAGTTTGCATGAACTTTTTAAAAAAACTGAGTAATCAGCTGTGCTGTCATACAAAAATCTAGTTTGTGCTCCGAGTTAAAATAAATTTCTTGTATCTAATTGATCGGGCACTTTCACATTACACATTCATAGGGAATGACCAAACCTACGAGTCATTTAACCTTTTTCCCAAAATCATTGCATAGGAGGCTGATGAGTATAAGATACAGGAGAAGGAATGTAGGCAATTAAAAACATCCATGGCTTCTATGCAAAACAAACCTAGGCCCAACACTATGACATCTAGACCTGCTAATCATCATACTGATCTGGATGGCAGTTGCACTAAACTTCTTGACATGAAAGCTATATTACCACAAAATACCACATAACTGCCTGTAAAGTAGCATTTCTTAACCTCTTGAGTGGCATGACCACTTTCATCTGGTTATTAAATTTTTGCGGTTTATGATTTAAAATATTTTGCTTTCTTACTTTCTTTAATGGTGTAAATACCATCTTAATAAATTGAAATTTATGAAAACATAGACTAAAATAATTAACTATAAAAATTTAGCTGTTAAATGGTTTCGATACATGTCTTCATGAACAGATCCCAAAACACTGTGGTTCCACCCAAGGTTTCTTAAAAACTTACATGCTTTTTTCATACCATAAAAGAAAGTAACTCAAAAAAGCAATAAAAGTTAACGCCTCTATGAAATTTTAAATATAGAATAAGGACTAGCCCTCACTTCCATTTATTAGTCTGAATAGTTGATGCAAATGAGGCAATTGCATGTTGTGATAGCACCATCAGGATAATTTTAGTTATTTTACAGCAACTGCGCTGGGAAATTGCCTGCTATCCCGGTATTAGTAATTTCCTGGCTCATTTTATTCATCATTGCATATAGGGAATCTCACAGTTTTAAATATGCAGGGGAATCCCGCATACTTGAGTATATGAAGGTGCTGTGAGTAGCCAGTCATGGTAGTCGCTGATTTGTCTTTCATAAAATAAAAATTGAATGATATTTCTTTTTACGTTTTTGCTTATTGATAAGCTATATTAGTTCTTATAACATCACACCACTTGTACTCTTCCACTAGATTAGCCTTTTCAGGCCAGCCATCATGCAGACATGCCAGTATGAAATGCATGCATGTCCCAGCTGGCACACTGATATTATAACAGAGCATTTTCTTATTCACCCCTGTTCATAATGCACTGGTGTTAGTATTTTGGAGTATTTATTTAGTTAATAATGTTTTAGAAACACATATATTTGGCAAGATGGAGTAATATGTCCATAAGATTTGAGATATGTATAGATTTGACCTTGTACTCAAAATGACAAAAAGATAATTTACATTTGGATTTTTATTACATAATTATAATGCAAAAGCCCTGTTCTTGACTTGCAGGCTTCCTGATGGCCCTTTAAATGTGCACATGGTATTTATTGATGATTGATATAGGAGTCCTCCCTTCTAGAGCATTAGGTTGCAGCCCAATTCCCAATCAAAAATTATACTTTGTGTATATGAAATATTTTTATTTTGAGCATTGCAATGTCAAAGATTTGAAAATTTTTAACTGAAGGTGAGATAGCAAAAATGATGCAAAACATTTTGGATACAGATTTTAAAACAGACTGAGAGTAGTGAAAGTGATACTGTAGTTTATTCTGATTATTCTGTTGATAACAAAGCCCATGAATTTAGTGATGATAAGAATATTTCTGATTATGCATGCCCAGTACATCGACAGGCAATACATCTTCATGGTCATTGACTATAGAAAAGTTAGTGCAATTGCGTTTCAAAGCACTGCTTTAATTAAAAGTACAGTAGTTTGCAGAACTTAAGCAGTAAATCCATTTTGCAACATACAACCATGAAATTGTTGAAAAGAGTGATCAATAAAATGAAATAATGGTTTAGTGGTCTATAAAATGAAAAGACAGCTCGGCAGAAATGTGCAACATATGCAAATATGGAACTATGATGTCAAAGGGTACGTCAGGGCACACAAAACAGAAGGCGTTAGCATGAGCAATGCTAAGCAACTTAAAAAGGAGAACTGGCTTTCTTCTGCAGATGGAAATGAGACTGCACATGCAGTATGGCTACAAAAGAACATCAGAGCACCCTTGCACATGGTAGAATTAATTGCAAGCTTGACGGGGGCCTAGTTTAGCATCTGTTACCAAAGAGTTTGAACTAAACCTGCTTTTTTGTGAGCTTAGAAAACCTTCCAGATGACAGGTAAGACGACACGTAAAAGAAAGGGTGGTTGGTCAGCAAAGGAAAACAGTGGTACTGGGTGACCGATCACCCGACATGCGAAAAGAGCTCAAAACCAGACTGCGGTCAACACTGCTGAGTTGCGCACAGTAACCAGATGACAGGTTTATTGTGTCCAAATGACTTCATAAAGGTGGCCTGCATACTATCGGCAGCATTGTTTACAGTGGTGCCGAGAACACAAAAACTAGTCACTTCATCAATGGAGTCATGTCCTTTTTTTTTTTTTTTTTTTTTTTTTGATGGAGTCATTTCAGTCTAACAAACTGCTTTCATTGCCAGTTGACATGGAGAGAGATAAGGACATGTTTCATCCCATAAATATCAAGAAAAGAGACCATTGGGAGGAAGCACTCCTGGTGTGCTTGTATGGAAAGGCGTTATGATGGATGGAGCTTCACGTTTTTGACAGAGGTTCACTTACCAAAAATTGTTACTGTGGAGAAGTTATCCTTCCCCGCATGTATCTTTTCTGGGGTGCCATTGGACTTTGTTTATATGTGACAATGCACAGCCAGACAAGCTGTTGAATAGCTCCTGGAAAGTGAAGACATCCACTAGAGGCACTGACCAGCATGCTCCCCTCATTTAAATCCCACTGAATATGTGTAGAATACTTTAAGGATGTGCCTGGCAACTCAGTCTTACTTTCAGATTACCAGACAGCTAAAAGAGATGGTTCTTGAAGAATGGAAAATCTTACTCCAAGAGCTATTAGATAATCTATTGTTGAGTATTGACAGATGGTCCAACCCAACCATTGCAGTTAGGGGAGATCATATCCCTTACTAAAATTATTTCGTTTATTGTCTAGCTTGTTGCCAAACAGTTCTTTGCATCATTGCCATTTTGTCAATAAAACTTTTTTTCAATAATGCTGTTGCAGAATTAATTACCGAAGAGACTTAATTTGTATCAAATGAGTAAATATTCCAAAGATAAAACTTGTCCAGCTTGTGTAAAATATTTGCTTGTAACAGTGAATAATTTTTTTTTTTTCTTTTAACAATTTTTATGGATACTATAAAAAAAATCCAATACAAAATGTTTGTTTCTATGAATCCCATGATCATAAAGCTGTTTTTAAACAGTAGAATGAGTCGTGATCATTACATTGAAGTTCTTCGATGCTTGCACTTTTGTAGTGTTGATGAAGAAAAAAAGTCAGAAAGCTTGAATAAAAATGATGGCTAATCCCTTAGTTTGCTTGTAATATGTATTTTGGAAAACAAAATGTGTTTGTTTCAAACAGAGTAGAGAAAGGTAAATTAGCTCATGGATTTCAATGCAGGAAAAATAGAATTTATGAAATCTGAGTTCTAGAAATTTTAATGCACCCTCCACTGGAACGTTGGTGAGTAATGATTTACATCAAAATAAACCATAAGTAAATTTCTAGGGGAAATGCTTTTAACTTTTTTACAAACTCTATTGAATTTTTATGGTGTAAATGTTATTATCTAATAAAGTTGAAAATCTAGAAATTAAATATTTAGCTAATGGGTATGAGGCAGTGCCTAAATTTGATACAGTAGGGCAGAAAGGAATACCACTTTTATGAATTTTGGGAAGAGCATATAATCTGGCACAATTCGCAACAGATGGGATAAGCGAATGTTTTAAGTTGCTTGAAATGATTTGCGAAGATTTGATCGCAGTTTTTTATTTTTGGATAAGTCCGAAGGTGAAGGATCTTTAGGGATTAGATTATATGGTCCTTCATTTAAGAGTTTAGTGACACCATCAATGTAAGTGTTCTTCCATGACGACAATCTGGCCACCTTTGTAGACCTTTGAAATGATAATGTCTGGGCTAGATTGAATTTCCTGCATTGTAGCTCTTTCTCTCGCATTTAAATTTGGTATCAAATGCTTATTGTTCAATTTCACATTATGGGTGATAAGATGCCCAATCATTTCTTTCTGTGCATTTTAAACTTTACTGAATTTGAAAGCTTTTTTGAAAGGAGCCAAAATCTTTGGAATTGAGGGTTTACAGGTTTGTGAGAAGTTTAAAATATATTTCAGAATTCTCTTGTTTTTCTGATAAACTAACACTAGAAATATTAACTTAGTGGCTTAATATTTAAAATGGGAAGATTTTTTGAACTGCTTAAATTAGAAGACTGTGAAAGGTTTTTGAATTTAAATGCAAGGATGTAATTATGGCAGTTAACCACATTCTCAGTTCTAGACCAAGACTTTTGTTTAATGGCAGTGAATTTTAGATATGAATTAGCAAGTTCCAGATGAAGCTTATATAGCCCATGTTCAGTTTTAAATAACTGTTGACTTGTATACCTTATGATGGACTGAAGCAAGGCAAGTGCATTTAAGAGAATTCTTGAAATATGATTGGAAAATTTTTGGTTAGATTTAATTTGAATGAAATTGGGGATCAAATTTTTACATTTACACTATTATAGTAAAGTCAAGGTGATTCAGAAAATTCCGTCGTTTTAGGCGTAATTTAGTGAAACGATTAATGGATGAAGGCATGGTAAACAATGAAGAAAATCAAACTAAATTAAAATTAAATTAACCAAGCTCAAAACATTGGAAAAATTTCACACTGAAAATGAATACCAAACAAAAACTGTCGATTTATATGCATATATGGCATGCAGTTCAACCTGAAATAATAGCCTGTTGCTTTTACCATGCCATTCATTCTTTGGGTTATGTGAATACAGTTAGTGAAAAGGGTTTGCAATTGAAATTTGATCTGTTAACAATTAATATTTATTATATACCCTATATATACCAGGGTATGTGAAATTTTCTCAGGTGAAAAAGGTAAAAGTTTAAGAATCCTAGTGTTTGAATCGTTATGATAAAATGTTGTATAAATAATTAGATACTGCTTTTTAAATATTTTTAAGATTACATTTGTGAAGCATTTTCCTTACACATTATAAATTTAATACCACCTGAAAAATAAAAATCACATCTACACCAAAAAATATCTTTATTACTATTATTATTTTAAAAATCTGAGTTTTGTTTTGTGTAAGTACCTAAAAATGTTAAATATGTGCCATAGCTTTAAATAATTCACAGATTTTGACCTTTATCAATATTTAAAATTTGCTTTAGACAAATAGTTTTATTATTTGCAAAAAATGTATTTAAAATTTTTTTATATGAGACAGACAATGTGGAAAATACATCAAGTCCATTGGTGGAGTTGGAGGTAATGCACAATTACAGGAGTATGATTTTAGAAATGAGCTATGAATGTCATATTTGTAGTTTCATAATGATCAGGTTAAAATGAGCATGTTTAATGTTTTTGATAATCATTAATACATGTATGTTCAAATACTGTAAACTCTCATAAATTTAAATAAATCCCTATCTCGAGAAGTAATATTAATAAATTTTGCATTTTAACTGCTTATTTTTATTCACAATCTGAAATCATCATCAAAAGAGGTTCTTGGAATAGGTTTTATTTTCTGTGGATTATGAGAAATGATATGACATATTTTTACTGTTTAATATCAGTGTTTTATATGCATTTATAGGATGTTATTAAACCTAAAACTACAGCCAGCTGTTTTCAACATGTCATACATTCATTTTTCAGTTGATTACATGAATACAGCGTGTGAAAAACTGTGAGGAGGATGAGTTTCCTAAGTTAAGTGAAAATTTCCGATGTTGTCACCTAGCTTTTGCAAATTGTCTCAGCTGGCAGCAATCGCAAAATTTGTAGGCAGTTAAACGATGAAATTATTAAAGTATTTCAAAAATATGTGACAAGGGAAAAGAATTGCGAAGAACCTGTCTGTGCTTCTGGAGCATGAGTGCTGATAGAAAAGTCATGTGCATTGTTGACTGCATGTATACATACATTCGTTATTATGCAGTCTTCATCAAAGATCTATAATACTTGTTACAAATCAGAAAATGACCTAAAATGTTTCACATTAATAGGGATAAACATATATTAATTCTTTTCTTCTGCGTTTATGCAGGTATTTGCAGATGTGATGAATATGTATTTAGTTTTATTTAATTTATCAACCTTTTCTTCACATTTTAGAGGTGACATTCCAAAATCTTTTAATAGTTCCTATGATCTCATAGGGAAGAAAAGTTCTGCTAGTTCTTATGAATTTGAATTAATGGGAGTTCATCATCCATGTTATTTGAGAAAATATTTATATTTACATTGGTTAGATAAATAAATTTTATTCATATGTAAATTGGAAGTTTGTCTAAAATTATCAACATATGTTTCTTAATAAGTAATGCAAAATAATTTTTTGTGTATAAATTATGCAACTCTTTAATTTTTGTTAACTTGTATCGAGAATAAAATGCTGCTCATGTTATTTAGTATGTCTTATTTTATTTCTCTTTAACATAGTCAAGTGATCTGAAATCAGAATTCGTAAGAGAAGATGTGTCTACTGAAGAAATTACTTCCGAGCAAACAGGAGTGTGTCGTAAGTTAGAAGCTTTAGATCACCAGCTTGGCATAAAGGCATCCCTCGTCCATTACTTTGAGGGTATAGGTGAAGTTCTTGGTGGAAGAGAAACCTCAGAAGTTAGTATATCTTTTTATATGGTTCTGTATCCAGTTATGGCTTTTAAACAGGCTAACAACAGGCCTTTTTATACGGTTGTGTGCTCCAGTTATGAAAGAAATCTTTTAAATATCATTCTTGGACATTCAGAATGAAAAGTGAGAATGAAAGGGAAAAATTTTTCTTATCTTTAAACTCTTCGTCCTTAAAACTTGTGTTTTTGTTATCTTATGAAAATGGATTTCCTTACTATTACTAAATTTTTGTCGTAAGTACCTAATGTTATTATAATTGAATTCTTTTTCATTTGAATTAATAGTAATTTAGTTTTCTAGAAATTTAATAGGATAATTCCTTTATTTTCTACATTAGTAAAATATTATTCTTGATCTTTTTTTTTGCCCAAAGGTCCCTCATTTTGGTTTCACTAATTTATTTAACGAATTTATTGATGTTTTCTAAAAGTGCAAGAAATTGTAAACTTGATCGCTCGAGATGCTTTTTATACTGGAATGTATACAATGATTAATTTTGACATTTCAGTGTGGAAGCCACAATGAAATATTTTTAATGCAAGTTAGCTTTGTTGTCTATGAATTTACAATTTGAGTTTAATGCAAATTACTCTCTTTAGGATGATCTAAATCGTATGAAGGCAAAAATCGAGGTTTTAGTGAAGGAGAAAGAAGCATTAAAAGAAGCTTTAAAAGTCTCTGAAAAAAAGTAATTATATAGCCTTATGCGATATTTAGCCAGAAGTATTAAGCAGCTTTTATAAAATATAATTTGTACTTTTCTATACAGGCTTGATGAGGAACGTAGCAGAAGATATGTAGAATGTGAAAGTGAGATTGTTTCCTTAGAAAAGGAAATAAGAACAAGTAAATTAGTAAAGGGGCTGAAGAAGCAAACTGAATTGCAGATTGCAGCGTTTAAGAAAGAGATACAAGTAAATATTTGTATTTGTATGATATAATTTTTATGCTTTTGTTTTTATGTGTTTACTTCATATGTATTGTTCAAACATTTATCTCTGAAATTGCATACCCATTTGATTGATTTTTTTCTTTTTTCTTTTTCTTTTTTGAAACCTGAAATGTATAATATTGCTGTTTTAAAAATTTTAAGTTCTTTAGTAAGTTTGATAAAATATATTGGTTAATGTTTTGTTCATTAAATGCAACATTTTTAATAATTATGCAGAGTACTTGTGAATGGAGGAACCTCCTTTAGAAGAAGCTTCCAACTAAATGAGATTCTTACTCTTTTAGGAGAGTTCTACCTGCTGAATCAAATATTTTTAAATATAAAATGCTGAAATTTAAATTCTTCCTTTTCTGTGGATTTCAGGTGAATGAAAGCTGTGTTTTATTTATTTTTAAAATTAATTTCTTAAGTGGACTCCATGATGTAGAAGAATGTAATAGCAGCTTCATCTTTAATCTTGTAAAACCTTATATTGTGCTGTCAAATTTCAGAATCAACCATGAAAACAGTAGCTGTTTATTTGCATTTTTTACTTTTGGTTCATTGACAGAATTGTTATAAACTCTCTTCAGAATGTCTTCTTTTCAAAATTCACTACAGATTCTTTCTTTAATTACTCTTGCAATGTTTTTATCCTACTCAATTATTTTCTCTTGGATTATTTACCCATATTTCAGATTTTATACTGTAGCGTTTTCAAGTAATTTGATTTCTCTTTCTGTATCTTTAGGGATTAAAAAAAGCTAGAGTTGAATTAGTAAAGCAAATGAAGCAAGATAATATTAAATTCAGACGCTTACAAAAGGAAAAAGAAAAAGAAGTTGCTCAACTGAAGCAGCGTGAGAGAAAAAAGGATTTTGAAATTGTAAAATTAAAGAATAGATTTGAAAAACACATGAATGTATTAAATCAGAAACTTGCAAAGTATAAACAAGAGAAAAGACGCTCCCTGGAAAAATCAACAATGAAAACTGCAAAAGATAAAAAGATACTTCAGAAAAACATAAATGTTAGTATACATTTTTTTTTAATTGTTGCTTTTTTTTTATTATTATACTTAAAAACTTTGCTATATATAATGTCTGTCCTCAATTCTAGATATGTTTATTTCATATTTTGTTTCATCAAAAGGAAATTTGAACATATCGGGATGCATCCCAATGTCCTAACTAAAGTAGTTATTCAGGGAAAAAAATAACATTACACCTGCATATGCGATATTACATTAGGTTATTTAAATATGGCAAAGTACACGGCTATTTACTTAAGGGCTTTTGTTGAAAATTTTCTAAAGGAAACTGGCTCATATTCACGTTACACATGAGAAAACCCATCCATCTAACCTATTCACTTAAGAGCAAATGCTAGACAAATTATCACTAATTAGTAACCAGTCAGTCACAAGTAGGTATTAAAAGTGGTATTATCATGTATGGTATTAAAAGTGGGCCTCTCCATATGCTGTCTCCACAAAAGTCTTCCTCTTACCTTTATTCTTAAAACCAGTGGTCATACATGTAAACTTCTGATATCAAAAATGTTAAAAGAGGCAAATATTCTTGTTTTCCATTTTTAAATTTTAAAAAAAAGTCTTGAAAAAATAAAAAAAAACTTAAATTTTTATACAATCACCTGGCTCCTTATCTGTATACTTGATAAGAGTTTATACTCATAAAATATAAAACATAAAAGCTTTGGCATTGGTATAACAAAACTAACCAAAATATTTTGTGAAATTACTTTTATAAAATTAAGTTTCGGGTCATATTCAGAGGTTGGACAGAAACTGAAGAGGAAAATGTTTGCAACTGTACATAACTCAAAATTAATTATCCGTTCAAGAAAAAGTTTTGGATGTAAATAGATAGACCTAGACTAAACTTACAAACCATACCGTCAATTCTGACAAATTGAAAAAAAGTAGAAACAATCAAAGAACTAAATTAACCAAATTGAAATACTGGGTAACTCATCTTCTGAGGCAGATTACCTGACCTCGCCAGCAGGGTCACATCAATCTTTATTCTGAATAAATTCAACGTAATAGTTATAATAATATATGGTACACCTAAATATTTTGTTTTAACAGTTTCCATCTTTCTTAAAACATTGAATCACTTATTCATTTAAATCAATTTTACATAACTTTTAACATAAATTCACAATTGTGAAATAACGTTATTGCTTATTGCATAATTTTTCTAATTAAATTACGTAAATAATCACATGTAGAACTCAACTTAGTTACAAATTTAGAAATGTACTACATAATCTATTTCAAAATATTCATATCTGATTAGATTATTTAGAATTTTTATAAATTCTAACTTAGATTTTTCTTTTGTAAATAAATACTTTATATTTTCTCTTGAAATATTAAAATAAAATATTCTTCTCTAATAGAGATTGTCTGTATGCATTCGCACAAATAGTTTATAAAGTCTTCATTTTGTGCTTCACATCCACATTTACATTCCACTTTCTTTCTGTGAAATCTCTTTAAATATTCTGGACTTTGTCCATGACCTGTCAGTGCTTGATTTATTCTTTTATCACTCGAGAGTCTTGTTTTCTTAACTTTAGGGAAAATCTGAAAGCTTTTTCTTCCAGTGGCATCATTATCCCATTCTTGCCATTTTTTCATTATTTTTTTGCAATAATGTTTTCACATATTCTATTGAGATGGTGGAGAAAATATCTGTATTATTTTTCTTGGTTGCTTCCTTTGCAGTGTTGTTTGCAGCTTCGTTTTCTAACTTTCCTGTATGACCTTTAACCCAATTAAATTTCAAGTTATCCTTTTCTATAAATCCTACAGTTTTATTTCTTACTTCAATTACTTTTTCAATTACAATTCAGCCTCGAAAATTGTACTTTTTTTCATTGAGTCTGTATTCCTTATCTTCACATTTCTGTTCAATATAATAAGTCACAAAGGTAGCTCCTGCTTTTTTGTCCATCATCGAGCTATCAGTAAATATCTCTAAGTCACATCCTTGTGGCATGTGTCTTTCCCATGGTACATTCTTTATTTTTGCAGTATGGTAATAATATTTATCTTCTTGTATATTAATATTTTCATGATTGACAAAATCACCATAAATTATATCTTTTTCCATATGTTGTGCTAGATATATTTGAACTTCCGTGTCTACCTTCAGATCAGGGAAATAGCTCCCTGCTTCAAACTTGTATACTTGTTGTTAGTATTGTTCTGTAGCATCAAGTGGTAGGTATTAGTGCTACGCTTTGGATCTATAATTATTTAACCCTTGTTTTTCTTTCCCTTTCCACCACCTGGGATCTCTATATAGATAATTCTTTCTATTCCTCTTTTATACAACTCTTTGAGTATGCTTTTATTTTTATAATTATCTTCATTTAACAATATATTTCATTTATGAACAATTTTATAAACCTTTAACTTAAAATTTGTCAAATGTGTAATCTATCTAAGGTTTGTGTCCATAATTCCCAAATATTTTGTAGTCTCTTTACTAATAATATTCCTGTCTTTCAATGATGTTATAGGTGGACGAAGCTAGCGTCACTTTCATTGGAAAAGTTATCATGGGTATTTTATCTGCACTAATTTCCAACTTATTTTCTTCACTTCACTTGGATGTAACTTCCAAAACTTTTCTAGTTCTTTCATGTATAACTAATCTACTTTCTACGGAGATGAGATAAGTACTGCAAAATCATCAGCATAAGCTTGTATCTTTATTCCCTCCTCAAATTTTAAGTTCAAGGCTGTATCTGCAATCAAATTCTATGAAGTCAGACCAAGGACAGATCCTTTGGGTGCACCTTTATTACAATTTTTCTCCATATTTGTTTCATATCTATTATATATTATTTTTTGATTTTCTAAATAGCTAAAAATAATTTTATACAAGTTTATTAGACATTTTTATTTGAGTAGATTCGACTTGCTGGGCCACCAAAGTTCATTAAATGCACTTCTTGTATCTATTAATATCAATATAGTACATAAATTCTTTTTTCCCCCTTTCCACAATTCATTTTACATTTTCGATTGCTAATATTGTATCTTTTCCAGATATGAATCCATACTGGTTTTCATTCATTAATTTATTGTTTTTCAGACAAAAATATAATTTGTTATTAATCAGCTTGTCCGAAACTTTTCCTAAGGAGGACAATAGATCTATATGCTGAAGGATTAATTGGATTTTTGCCTGATCTTAAAAACAGAATTAAACTGCCATTTTTCCAAACATTAGAAAAATAACACTTTTCTAAAGAGCTGTTAAACAGATTTGTAATCAAATTCTCATTCACAAACCAAAGTTCTTGAAACAGCTCGAATGGAATTCTGTCAGGTCCAGGAGCGTTATTTCGCCTCATAATTCCAAAAGCATTAGCAATTTCCTGAGCCACAAAAGAAACATCCTTTTTCCCATTTTGAAACTTCTTTTTCCAGTTTTTGGTTTTTCTTATGATTTTCATTTCTTCATTTATTTTAAAATGAAAGTTTATAATAGCTTTTATTCCTTCTTCAATATTATTGAACACTGTGCCACTGTTCTTCGTTATTTCTGAAATAATTGCAGCATTGATCTGTTTGCCATTTACTATTTTGAAATGAGTTCCAGAGGGAATATGAGTCATAATATTGCCCCAAATACTCTTCCAATAATTTTCTTTAGCTTGTTGAATACCTTTTCAATACTGGACCAGAATCTTTTTTTAGTTAATTCTATTTTCTGTTCTCTAACATTCTAGACACTTTTGAAACTTTCTTCTTAGTGCCCGAACCTGCTTTCTCTTAATATTTAAGTTCATATTCCACCATCGGGAAAAAAATTATTTTCTTTATGATTAAAATTGTTCTTATGTATGGTTTCAGTATAAGTGTCTCAAATTATTTTGTTTATAATTTCTAGAGTTTCATCAATGTCTTCTGACAACTGTAAATCTTTTTTCCTCAGTTTTGCTTTATACTGCCACCATTTTACATTTTTAAGTTTATTTTATCTCTTTCATAATCCTGAGTTTTGTTATTACTAATTTCGAAAGATGCATCTATCTCAAAGAGAGGTCATCAAGAACTTTCCGATCTGAAATATTCAAATTTCCTTTAACTCTTGAAGCAGTTATATCAATCCAAATACTCCCCAAAGTGAAGTAAAATGTTGGAAGGTCATACTTTTTATTAATAATGTCAAATTTGTTCTAGAGAATCGCTAGTATTTTTCATCAACTGTTTGTTCTTTCTAGTCCCCATAGGATGTTTATAGTTCATACCTCCATTAATAACTATTGAATAATTATCAAATCTCATTATCAGAGTTGTTAATATTTGTAAATGATCTTCAAAAGTCTCTGAAGGTGAAAATAAGTAATCAAAACATGAGGATTTTTGTCTATCCATCAAAACTGCAACAATATCTTTTGATATTTAAATCTGCATAATACAATATCTACTATCAAAAATAAAGATTTCAGTTCTAATTTTCTCATTCTTATTATAATATGCTCTTGCATGTAAAGGAAATCTATAGATTTTCCCCTGTGGTTCTTGTACACAAACTACTTGTATATTTTTATCCATAATTTCCACTTGGTTGGCCGTGGCTTTAATAGCATAGTGAAGGTTAATCTGACAAATTATAATTTTTTTACAATCTAACATATTTCAATTTACAATAATATTTTGTTAAAATTTTTAATTGCCTTATAAGGCAAATATTCTTTACTTGTATTTTCACGAATTTGAATTCAAACAAAGACTGTATTTTTCATTTGCCAGAGTAGTTTCTTCATTTTAATTCTGGACTTTGACAGTCCTTTTGAGTATGTCATTTCTGCGTACACCTATCACAGATTCCTTCATTCTGACAATATCTCTTCATGTGGCCAAGTTCATAACAAGAGAAACATCTTAAGTAAACCTTTTTCTCATTTATTATTCTTTTAAATGACTCTGAATTCAAGGATGCAATCCAATGAGGCCACGGTCTTGATTTGATATTATATCTTGATACAATCTTGGCTGTTAAATCTTTTATTTTGAGATATTAACAATTTTTTTGCCCTCTTCATTATTCAATGATAAATCTACATTATAAATTATTATCTTTGGATTAAATTTTAGGCCTCCTTATTTCTAATTCTTCATTCAAGATTGTTGTCAGAAACAACTGATTCCAGAACTCTTTTCTTTTTTAGTAACCTTTACTAGGAGTTCACATTTTTATTCTTTTGTACTTTTTGTGTACCAATCTTCAATGTATCGCATAATATTTTTTTTTTTTTTTTTTTTTTTTTTTAAAATTTCTCTCTTATTTGGTCCATTGTACAATTTTTCTCTTTAGAATATATCAGAGTTATATATTCAGGTTCTATTTTCTTATTTTGCTTTGATCTTGGTCATTTTCTGCATAAGTAGGTTTCTCTTGTTTTTCTTTTTCATCTATCAAATAATTTTCTCTTTCTTTCAACCAACCTCTCAATTTAGTGTTTTCTATTAAAACATTCGTCATTTCTTGTAACTTTTGGAGTATTTCTCTTATTTTATTTCCAGTTGTTTTGTTAATTTTTCCAGTGGAATTACCTAAGATTCCTTCTAGTTCATTCGCTTTATTGTAAAAGTATGACAATACATTATCCGATATAAGATGGTCAAATTTAGATCTAATGATCCATTTGCATCATTAGTATTTTCTTCATTTTTATCATCTTCCTTTTCTCTCATTCCTTCCTTCATTTATTTATTTTGTTTTGTATATTCTTCCCTATCCCTTTTTTCTCCTTTTCATTTCTATTTTTCTTATCTCCATTTGCCATGCTACGGTACCCTGCCGTTCACACCGGGGGGTGTCTGGATCTGTGGAGTATAATTTAGCTGCAGAAACGTTTGGAGAGCTCCCCGATCACAAGATATAACAGTCAAGACAAAGTCAATCACAGTTTATGTAAGTAAACACCTAAGCACACAGTGAAAAGGCATAATCAACAGGATGACATAGAAAGCAGAAAAATGAACTTTTTGAATTTTCCCTGAATTTTGATACCTTTCTCACAATGATTAACATAAAAATCATTTATCATGACAGAGTGATGATTCAAAATGGGTAAGATAGCTGTGCAGCGAGGACTTGCTTTGATGGGTCCAGTACTAATACATCATAAATCATGCCAAAATATTCATGAAAAAAAATGGTCTTAAAAAACTAAGTAAACATATAAAAGACATTGGTTAATCAAATTTAAAAATTGCCATGGTGTATGGCAGTAAAAACTTCAGATAAAAAAGCTTGATCTAATGAAAAAGCACCTGAACAATTTGCAGATGATTTTATCGAATTCATTAATAGTGAAAAGTAATATCCAGAACAAATTTATGACTAAGATGAAACTGGTCTTTTCTCGTATTACCAGAAAATATCTTGGTGACATGAAGAAAAAGCCCCAAATGTTGTCAGAGATGATTTTGGCATATGAAAATGCTGCATGAGCACACAAATGTAAACTTTTTGTAATTTGAAAAAGTACATGACCTAGGGCATTTAAATGCACAGTGATTTTCATCATTTATCAAGAGCTGGATGACACTAACATCAAAGAAGGATTTATTTGAAAATGATGTACGCAAAACTCGACAACCTTTAAAATCAGTTGGTTTAGTGAATGGTGCAAAAATTGTCCTGATTATAGTGAACTGTTCATTTCAAACTTGGACTTAAAATTTTAATAAAAGATAATGTCTCCACCTCCCCCCTCTAAAGTGTCCATCCATCATTCAGCCAGTGGGTATGGAAATGCTAAGCACATTGAAATGCAGATATGAAATAGCCTTAAAATCTGTGCTATATTTTCTGAACAGTACAAAACCATTCAAACATAAAACATACTATGTGGAGTATTGCATGGTCATGGAAGGACATTGTTTCAGATATTTTTTAATGTTTAGCATAATTTATGACCAATTACCATATTTCATGATAATGATGATGATAGCAGTAAATTTAAAGGTTTTCAGATATCATAAGCAAACTGCAAATGTTTTTAAATTTAAAAAAATGCCAGTTTTGATAATGAAGAATGCGACAGAGTTGTTAATAAAAGATTTCAACTGACAGTTTAGTGGGAATTCTCAATACAACAGCTACAGAACTTGAGCAGTGCAATTTTATAACATTACATTATGTCCATAAAATTAAAGACAAAAACTTTAAGGTCCCAAAGGGAGGGGGAAGCTTTAAGAACGTACATTGAAATAAATGTTTAATAAACCAAATAAATTTTGAGCACAATTAATTTTAAAACAAATTTTTAGGCAAGTACTAGTCTTATTTACTGCAATAAAATGTACATATGTTTTTTTTTTTGGGGGGGGGGTCTGATATTAGCAATATGTGGAAGTTTTCTATCATATAAGGCAATATTGCTGTCAGTGTAAACAATCTATACAAATTACAGTGCAAGAGCATTTCAGCATGTACAGTGAAAAATACATTAGTTGCCTACTTATACAGTACAAAGTCCAAAATCTGGACATTCATTATCCGGAAAGATCTAAAATCTAGACCTCAAAGCCACCAACAATGTTTCGTTCATGTAGGCTTTACACACATGCACTTTGCACTTGATTCCCCCCCGCTCTGTGCACAATAAAACATCTGGAGCGTTCCGATTCTTAATTTTACTTCGACACTAAATTAAATACCTTGTTACTGAAGAAACAATCATTTTAGCATAAATTTCTACAATCAATAATTTGGCTCCATTGCTTGGCACCCATCTCAAACCGAAACATTCCATGTAAATACATTGTTGATCTGACGTCAATCTGGCAAATCATTATCTTTATTATACTTTCCTTTCATCGCTGCACGTTTATCAAAACATGACAACTTGATTAATGACTCATGTAGCAATGCCTAAACATTTTTTATGTTAGTAATTAAATAATAAAGGAATATGGTAACCTTTTATCTTGACATTATGCTTGGCAATAATTTCAGATTTAAGTTAAAAGTGCTAAAAAATGTTGACTATGAAAAATTTACAAAAACTTTCTTTCCATATGCTAAAAATAGATTTTGTTGATGATACTCATAGACCCAAAGATTACATTTAGGGCGATTTGAATTATGAATAACTCATTTGTTCACATAAATCCAGACCCAGCGCCAGGGCTCGTATGGCCGCGCTGAGTCGCAGAATTTAGGATGCACAGAGACTGCATCAGGCAGTAAGATATCTAGTGCCTGCTCTCAATAAGTATGTGTGGAAATTTATTTATTCAGAACTCTGGTAAGCCTTAAGCATAGGCAAGAAATAGACATAAGTATAATAAATAACTAAACTAATACAATTCAGGCTGAATTGTCTCAGTGCGTGAGAGAAGCAAGATAAAATTTAAGGGAACAACTTGTCGTTAGTCGCCAAGCTCATGATGCATAACCAAGTATGTATACTGAAGGATAGCTAAATTTGACAATGATAGACGCTAATTTTAAAGGTTTTCAGATATCGCAAACAAAGGTGAAATTTTCGAATCAACGGATTTTGTAAAGAAATGTGGAGAAGTGTTAATAAATAAAGATGATATAAAAGAAATTTTTCATTGTGATGACAATTTTTCTCGATCATCAATCAATTAATGAATGGTGAAATCTGTAATATGGTTCTAGATCCAGACATACCACTGTCCATAGTGAAGAAAAGTGACAGCGAAGTTACTGAAAATGATAAAATTTCTATTGACAAGTTAAGTTAGTTGAAATTCTCGAAACAGCAATTACAGGACTTCAACAATGTAACTAAACAAGAGATTATGTCTGTCTACAGAATTAAAGAGAAAGTATTAGCACAAAAAACGAAGCAACAATTTACATTGAAAGAAATGTTTAATAAGGTAAACAAATAAATATTAAGCTTTTTTGTAAATTTTCACACCCTTTAGATCATAAATACTTCATTTTTTCATAAATCACGATTTCATATTTTTAATTTTATAATTTCTACATGCCATCTTACTAGATTTAAACTGATGATCTAATAGCCGGAAAAATCCCAAATTCGGAATCGCCAAAGTCCCGATGAGTCCGGATTTCGGACTTTGTACTGTATTATCAAAATAATGCTGATAATAACTATAGATTTCATGTGATCTTTCTATGTTTTGTTTCAACTTAGTGTCAGATGGTGCACGGCAGGTTATCTACACTGTGGAGACTAAGCAATATGTATCAGTAATTTCTTCGAAAATAGTTTGTATAATAAATTGAAAATTTTATTTTGCTTATTTTTCATGCATTAAACTGACTAAACTTAGAAGTTTCTTGCCCTTTTTATATTTTTAATGGTGGCATCAAACATTAGTAAGCATTCTACATGCAATGTCTGTGCATTTTTTTATATGTCTATATTAAATAAATCTGAAAACCACATTTTATAATAATACATTTCAGGATTGGCTTGATCGAGACATGGAAGTTGTGGTTTGCAGCAAACTTACTGAATTTCATTATCAAAATGTGGAAGACAAACTTAAATCTACTCAAGAAGAGATTAATAATCTTCGAAACAGTTGCAGCTCAAGTCTGTCGGAGGAAAAGGTATAAAGTTTCTTTGAAATGCTTTTATTTAATAGCTAAGAATTTGCACTCTTTATTCTGTCAAACAATTTCCTTAAATCTTTTCCTGTAACCAGAATAACCTTTTTTGATGTTGCCGATGTGTTAATCACTTTATTTTGAAAGCTGCATAATGCTGAAATTTATTTATAAAGTTGTTGCATATCATGATCTGAAAAGAAAAAGTACTTTTATTTATTTAACTTTGTTTTGCTCCCTCTAGCAGATCTTTTCAGTTTTAAGGTTTGAATGTTAATGCTTAATTGTTTCAATTCTCTTCCGAAGCAAAAGCAAAAAAGTATTCACTGAATTACAGTTTGAGATGCCCCTTGAACTGCTCCAATTACAAGCAATTTATTTCCTAGTTATTTTAAAAATTAGGAAATTTCAATATCTTTGTGTACTTATAAAGTATGCTTTATAGATCTTTGTTCAATAATCATATTCAGCATCTCTGAAATTATTTTAATAATTATTCCCAAACTGTGGTTAACAACATTATTGCCAGCATGGAAACATGTGTCAGAGGAGATCACATTGCATGTTAAATTCATAAGCTGGATTTTTTTCCTTTTATTTTTATTATTTCTTGCTACAGATTTTTATCACATGCTCTGCTCATAAATTTTTTCCTTTGTATTTATGTATTGTGATGGTATATATCATAGCACACAAATTGATAAAATTATTGTTCACTGTTTCTGAGAACTCCATGATTTCATGCATGTAAAGATAATTTTGGGCATAAGTGTATGTTATCTGCTAATATACGTGGAATCAAACCTATTTTATGATTTTTTTAATTGGTATAAAATCAGAGATAATGTATATGTAACATAAATTCATATCTACATCTGTACAAATCTGACTGGCACACTTCTGTTATCAGGACTAGATTAAAAAATGTATGTGTTCATGTATCCACACATGCATTCAAACACATGTGCATACATACATATACATTTCTGAATCTAGTTCTGATAATAGAAGAGTACTTTCTGATTTTAATCCATAGGGATAAACGTTAATTTTTATTATACGATGGACATGGTGTCAAAAGACTGGATTTTTTTTTATTCAATTTAAAATCAGCGGTTTTAACATATTTTACTAGTTAATGAATTTATTTTATACTTTAGCAGCATTGGAATCAAAAAGACTTGATAAAATTTATGCATTTTTAAATTTCGTAAATTAATTTTAAATGAGAGATCCAGAAATAGAAATTCCTGTTGGTACTTACCATGAAGTTATTTTAAACTGTGATTTATACCCATAGGTACTGGCACATTTAACAAACAGGAAGAGTTTCTGTAGGTGTTTTTGTCTTTTGTAAAACTATTTTAAATTTACTTAATTAAAAAGTATTCATGACTGTATAATTTCAAGGGAAGTTATAAAGTCATGAATTTTATATTTATGTTGAATTTGCGCATTTTATAATGCATAAATATCACCGGGTGAACTGGTTATGGCAAAGCATATGAAGACTTTGTATCAGAAAGTTGAGATATTTTTGTGACTACATCCCTCCTTTTTGACACATTTCACTATTTGTGAAGGGGTTCCTGTTTCATTTATTTATTTTTTTTTCCCTTTTCCGACAGCAAAATTTGCTAATAAAAGAAGCTGAACACTTAAAATCAGTGCTTGAAGTACACAAAAGAAAATTAACTGAACTGAAAGGGGACAAGTCAGATTTTAAAGATGGTAAAGATGTCTTCTTGTTTTTTCACCTTCGCTTTTAATAACCATACTTTCCTCTGCTATTTTCTCATTTTTCTATGCTTATGACAGAAAAAAGTGAAGATCGGTGGAATGAAATAAATAGTATGGCAGAGGCAAAGATTGCATTGGGAGTTCTTTTCAAAAAGGTAAGTACCCTGTATAAAGTTTTACCTCTAAATATATCATTTTGCCCTCTAATTTCAAAAGTATGTTTTTATGATTGATGTTATTTCAGCTTTACTACTATTTTGAGAAACCTTCCTTTTCAATTTTTTGTATACTTTGCCTTTATGTAGATCAACGCTGTAGTATGTCTTGAAATTTTGCTACTGATAAAAGTAGAAATGTTTTAAGATCTTAAGCTATAGTGAATGAATTCCTAATTGTTGCCTTCACCTGTAAAGTTTATTATTTTTCAAAAAGAAAAAAAAAATCTTATAAGCGGTCTAAACATTGCTTTAGGAAAAGTGCGTTATGAAGATTATACCCTGATTAGCTGCTGTTTCCTATACTCTTCTGTATGTAGAGGGAGAAATTTCTATTCTCTTCTGTTATATTCAAATTAAGCCTAGCAAAGTGAAAATCGGGAAACATCGAGAAATTCTGCTAATGTTAAAAATGCGGGAAATTTATTAATTTATTTACATTTGGCACTTTTTAATGTGATTGGAGTTAATGTTATCATTCAGATATTTTTACCAAATAGTTGAAGTATATGAAAACAAATTTTAGTATAAATTTATATCCTATAGTATTATACTTCCATTATACATGTATATATATTGTATTGCATATTTCCCATTTGTATGTGAAGGCATAGAAAATGCTTGGTTTTTTGTGATCAACAAATTGGTTAATGATGTCAAAATATCATAGAATAAATTTAAAAAATTTTCTGGCATAGGCAGTTAAATCAAATTAAAAACAAGAGAAAATATTCTACATTGACATGTTGGAACTGCATTTAAACGCAAATAAAAATACAGAAGCTATTGCAGACAGCACATCTGGTGTGTCAGCTGGAGCTAGAATTCATCGCTTTATCACATTTGAATTCCACAGGTGCCTTTGATGTCATCAAAAAGTCGGTCTCCTTGGATTATATGAGTTACGGATTCAATTCTTGGTCGTTTACATATACTAGTTTAGACGGTAATCGTACAGGTTAATTTTCCCTTGTTTAAATCTCTATTTCTTTTAATTAATTTTCCATTAATTTATTCATATCTGTTAGGTGCTTACTCACTTTTAGATTGTTAGCATTGCTGTACTATTTCTTTCCAGCTGCGATTTTTTTTTTGTGTATTTTTTACTTTATTTTATTTATTTATTGTGTTATCCTTTACTCTAATTATTAAAACTTTTCAACTAATGTTCCGCTCTGATTGTTGAATTTTACATGTACTTCATCATATTCTCATTGCTAATAAAAAGCTATCTTCTGTCACTGTTAAATTTTTGTGTTGTTTTTAAAAATTTTGTGTTGCTTTGAATTTGAAGCCTTTTCATTTGTTTATCCGCTCTTACCTGGTTCTTGATCTTCTGAGCTTCTAAAGAGAGTAATTGAAAATTACTTAGCTTTTAATCTTATATTGACACATTATAACGACGAACAATTCACTTGACAAGACACATCTAACTACATTCTAAAGATAAAAGTAAATAAATCAGTTTTTAATTCAAAGGCTCACTATCGCCCCCTATCGGATGAGTTTGCAATATCCTCCATGGCTAACAGTTCGTCAGGAGATGCAAATGCTCATTAAGTGTTGACTGAGAGTTCCAGAGGACATAACAGTTGCACAAGTCTCCTAATGAAAGTTCTATTCGAAAGCCTCACTGTGCATGCACGGACACGACCATCACGTCCAGAATGTAATTCTGTCACAATACCCGTTTGCCATACAAGTCTAGGCGCATTGTCATCTTTTATCAAAACCGTAGTGTTCTCTTGAAGCTCTATCGGCCGGTTTACTGATCATGATTGGTGAGCTGACCTAAGCTCAAGAAGATACGTCTTCCATCTTTTCCAAATTCGATTAAGTAAATTTTCTCTTGAAGTAATAGTGTAATAATAATTCAGTAATAATTAAGTAAATAGTGTTCTCTTGAAGTTCTGTGGGCTGGTTTACTGATCACGATTGGTGAGCTGACCTAAGCTCAAGAAGATATGATGTCTTCAATCTTTTCCAAATTCGATTACGTAAATTTTCTTGGTATCTTCTCATCTTCAAAAGTTTAGATTCGGAGGAAGGAATTTCTTTAGTCGCTTGAGGCAGAATTAATAATCATTGTCCAATCAAGAAATGTCCAGGTGTTAGCGGTTGTGGTTCATTTGGATCACTGAAAACGTTAGAGGCCTGGCGTTGATAATTTCCTTTGTCTCTATCGATATAACTTCCAGATCTTGAAATGAAACTGATGTTCTTCCTAAGATTCTCTTTAGAGATATCTTAACTGACCTTACTAAGCGTTCCCATCAGGCGGCTCTTTTGACGATAAATTTCCATTTGAGAGATAACTTCTCAAATAAATTTTGCTCTTCTTCCCCTCTCATGATTTTCCACAGCAGATTCAGTTCTGGATTTGCCTTGTGAAATGTATTTGCATTATCACTGTAGATCACACTGCAAATGACTCTTCTTCCAACAAATTTTCAAAAAGCTTGCAGAAATGACTGAATGGTTAAGTCAAGAGTCAATTCCAAATGTATCGCTGTAGTTACTGCACAAGTGAAGAGCAGTGCATAGGTCTTCTTCATGGTATCTCAATCTTGAATATATAATGGTCCTAAGTAATCCAACTCGGTTGTTTTAAAAGGATTGCTTCTGATATTCTGTCAGCCGCCAGTGGCGCAGTAATCTGAGTCACAGGCTTCGTTCGAAATTTCTGGCATAAAAGACATTTATGTATAACACTCTTAATTCGCCGTCTGGCCCTTAAAATTCATGTTTCCTCTTCTAAGATAAGTTAGTGTTTCTTTTGCACCTCCATGTCTTACTCTTTCATGGCAGTTCTTAATGATGAGATCAGACAAGTGACCAACTCCTGGCAACAAAACTGGATGTGCTTCTTGTTGTGAAATATTAGCATATTGAAGATGCCCTCTGATTAAAATTATTCCTCTTTTATCTAGAATAAAGTTAAATTGCCTAATGATTGAATTTTTTGGCAATGGTCTTTCTTTAGTTAAAGCTAAATATTCTTGCAGAAAGTACTCCATCTATGTTCCTTTGATCCAATACTGTTCAGCCAGTTGAAGTTCTTCTGTTGTTAAATACCCATTTTTCCTTATTGTGTGAATTCTTCAAAGTGTAAATAAATCTTTGAAACCAAGCTGTGATTCATAATACATTGCTAAGTTTGCTGAATTTCTGTATGTCAAAAAGTGTTTCTGATTCAGTTCCTACAAAAAAAGAATAGAATTTTCTATTTCAGATCCAGCTCCAAATAAATCAGCAATTTTATTACTCGATTGCGGCTGGTGGACTTTGTCTTTCCTTATCCAAGGTGGTCCATTCCATCGCACTTCCTTGTCCTTAAGAGCCACTAAGTTGTCTATTCTAGACAGCAGATCTGCTGGGTTTTCCTTTCTGGAACAGTGATTCCACCAATCTGAATTAGAAATAGTCCTTATTTCTTCAACTCTGTTTTTTACAAATACCTGCAATTTTCGAGAATTTCCCTTGATCCAATGAAGAACAATCATTGAATCGGACCAGAAATAAAATTTAGTATCCTTCGGAAGTTCCAAGTTGTTTCGAATCTACTGAAATAATCTAGCTCCTACAAGTGCTGCAAGAAGTTCCAACCTAGGTAATGTAATTTCATGCACGGTGCAACTCTTGATTTTGAAGCTACTAAAACCGAACTAGAGTTTCCAACTAAATCGCTGTAATGTAAATAAATTACAGCTCCATAGGCTGTTTTGCTTGCATCAACAAAACAATGAAGTTGCCAATTAGTTAATTCGTCATTTTCCTTTAGTTCAAATAAATGCAGTGGTGACATCACTTTGTTCAAGTAATGCAATTCCTCGCACCAATCTTGATAATTTTTTTCGCCAAATCTGGTGGTAAGGGTTCATCCCATTTCAGTCTTCTCTTCCATATTTCTTGAAGTGTCATTTTCGCCCTAATTGTGAACGGAGAAATAAGTCCAATTGGATCAAACATCTTTCCAACAGTTCTTATTACACCTCTTTTCGATGATTTGAATTCATATACATTGTTACTATTCATCAGGTTTTCCTTGTCAATGCTTATACAATCTTCCTCAGAATTCCAGCAATAGCCGAGTACCTTACAGGGCAAAGTATAAGAAGCGGTTTTCTCATTGAATCGATCCTGAAATAGAGGTATATTTGTTCTCCATTTCCTCCTGTTAAATCCAGCTTCACCTAAAACGAACTTCACCTGCCGATGTACTTCAAAGGCAGTTTCTTCATCTTGCAAACTATGGATAAGTTCATCAACATATAATTTGTTACTTAGGATTTGGAACGCAATTGGATAGTCTCTTTCGTGCTTATTTATGTGGTGTTCCAATGTTGCATTTAGCAAGAATGGACTTGGCCTTAGTCTAAAACTAACCCGTGTCATTCTCAGCACTTCTGGTTCCATGTTCGTATCATCTTTAATCCACAGAAATCTGACAGCATCTCTGTCTTCCGGTGCTAACACTATCTGCAAGAATACACTTTCAATATCAGCTGTCAAGGCGACCCTGTTCAATCTAAACTGCAGAAATAAGGCCAACAAATCAGGCATTAAATTCAAACCTGAATTCAGACATTCGTTAAGGGAAATGGAGTTTATTACACTAAAAGATGCATCGAAAACATATCTCATTTTTGTAGTTAATTTATCTTCACGAATTGCTGCTTGGTGAGGCACATAATAAATTTTAGCTTTACTTTCAGACATACTGGAATCAACCTTTTCAACTATTCCTTCTGCAACGTGCTTCGAAAGGATTTACTTATACTGATTAAGAAAGCAAGGATTTGTCTTAAATTTATTAACTAATTTTTTTAAACTTCATTCGGCAATGGCATAGTTATCGGATAAAAATTCAACATTTTTATTCCACGGAGGACTAACTTCATAGCGACCATTAGCCATTTTTATAGAGCTTTTGAATTCCT